GTTACAACCTATTAGTGAATTGTGAAATCACTTTAGTGAGTTATGACCAACATTTTTCTTTTTAAATAAAAGAGAGTAGACTAGAAAACAGAGCAAATCATATGTACAAAATATACTTACTTTTCGTGAAACAGTATACACATATATGTACACTATGTGGCAAAATGCATTTCTTAAACAAGGAAAAATAGGCAAAAATTGGATAGCATAAAACTATATTTTAAAATACTAGGGACCCTGAATATACAATTTTAAATTGAACTTAACAATGATCAAGACACAGGTGATATATTTCAGGGCCTTCCAAAGTATTAGAGAAAGATGCTCTATAATTATGACAGCTAACATTTACAAACATGTGCCGCATAATGACATTTCAGTTAACAACAGACCACATATATGATGGTCGTCTCATAAGATTATAATGGAGCTGAAAAATTCCTATTGCCTAGTGACGCTGTAGTCATCATGTCATAGCACAACACATCATTCCCATGTTTGTGGTGATGCTGGTGTAAACAAACCTACTGCACTGCCAGTCATATAAAAATTAGGCACATGCAATTATGTACAGTACATAATACTTGATAATAATAAATGAATAAGTTACTGGTTTATATGTTTACCATACTAACTTCTTATCATTATTTTAGAGTATACCCTACTTATTGAAAAAGTCTGCTATAAAACAATATGCCATGTTCCGCTGGCAGCAGCCTTATATATTTCGTGTTTATCAGGTTTCTTAATTGCATCATTTTCTCTTGTGCTTGATTTAATCTCATTGTTGTTTTACACAGTAACCTGCTGTACAGGATTGTAGCCTAAGAGCAATAGGCTACATTGTCATATAGATATATCCTAGGGATGTAATAGGCCATACCATCTAGGTTTGCCTAAGTACACTCAATGACGAAATCACCTAGCAGTGTATTTCTCACAACATATACATATCATCATTAAGCAGTGCATGACTGTATTGAACATTTAGTACGTAATAGAAATTATGCTAAATACTTTACGTGAAATTTCACTAAATCCTTACAACAACCCATTTTAAAGAAAAGGAAAATAAGGTTTAGGAAAAGTTAAGTATCTCATTTGAAAAGGGTTATTTACATAGTTTTAAAGTAGTTCCAAGATATTTATCGATTAAAAAATAAGCAACTTAATGGTGGAGAAACCTGGCAGACACCTCTTTAAGCACATGTTCAAAGTTACTGTCACCAGTAATAAGACATATCAACATCATGAAACTCTGATCGAAGGCACTTGAGAAGATACACATCATATGTTTTGTGGTATTGTCAAAAATGCATAACTTCAGTCTACTTATGAAAAACACTAGATCTAAATTGAGAGATAGTCTATAAAATAACTGAACAGTATTCTCTAAAAAAGTGAAGGTCAAAAGACCAAAAAAAAAAAAAACAACAACAACACAAAACTCAATAACCATCATAGGTTGGAGGAGACTTAACAATTAAATACAATTAAATACAATATTTGGATCCTGGTAAAAAGATACTGTTGAGAAAACTGGTAAGATTTCAATAAGATCTATAGTTTAGTAAATACTACTGTACCATTGATAAATTTGATAATTTGAGAAATGGTTATATAAGATGTAACATTAGGGAAAGCTGGATGAAAAATATACAGAACCTCTCAGGACTATTTTAGCAACTTTTCTGGTTTTTTTCAAAATGAAGGTTTAAAAAATTATAATTGTTGCAAAAGGAAGGAGGAAGAGTAAGGGAGTAAGGGGCAAGGAAAGAAGGGTGAGAAAACAAAGAAAGGGGAAGGGGGCAAAAGATGTCAGATAACCTGCAAAGGTCACCCGGCCAGACACTGCGGAGAGCCTGTGTTTGAATTCAGGCAGTCAGACTGAGGAGTCTTTCACTGCAAGAAAGACAGAGGACGTAAAGTGTATAGAGAGGTGATATTTTCTTAATACCACAATTTGATTTTCCCATAAAAATTTTGATACATATAGTTTAACTGATAAGACCCTTTTAGTGAATAAAACATAACTATGTCTTTAAAAAATCATAATATAAAGTAAAAGTAAGTTGAGTTTCTATTATAGTCCTTTAAAAAAAAAAATCAGTTACTCATATAATATAAATAATAGTCATATGATAAGACTATTTAATCAAAACAGTTCATTTTCCCAAAATTTTGTATTGCCAGTGAAGTGAACCAGTTATGCTGGTGTTAGGTAAGCATAAATATCATTTTCAGAAAATAAAGAAAATTCTTTTGTAAAACAAAAACAAAATCACAATAATATGAATACACACAATAAAATAAGATAAAACAAACAATTAAAAACCACCAAATAAAATACTACTTACTTCCCTAAACTGAAAGTTATGGTTCTGATTACCTTTACAGATGTCCTAAAATAATTTTCAGGGAAAATAAATATTAAGAGTCCAGCTTTTTAAACTACCACTCATATTTTCCAGGAATGTTTAAGAAAAAAAAAAGTCAAATTTTTATAGTTTAAAGGCTATAAGTAACTTGACGATTGGGACTTCACTGACCCATCATTACCAAGCAAACTACCTAGAAATGTAGGTATTTAAAGAAACATCAAATTAATGTTTCTTGATAGTATAAGCATTATGTGGTACAGCACATAAGAATCAGAAAATCTTCTGAAAAATGAGTGTATTTACATTGTATATAGTATGAGGATAAATTTTAACTTCAAATCAGAAAACAATGTATAGATTCTTATACAGATACTTATAGTAAACAATTATAAATAAATGATAGTTAAATAGGTAACTGACTAAATTAGTTATAGGATTTACAGAGTTCCATGTAGTCATTAGAAGTCACTAAAAAGGCTGAGTGACATGAAAAATACTAGTCTGCCCACACATAAAAAATGATAAACACACCACAATTTTAACAGAACTCAATTGCAAGGTAAATTTTAGGTGACTATTTTCTCCTTTATTTTTTTTAATTTTATACTTTTTTTCATAATCTAACATTTATATTAGCTGAAAAAGTCCTTTGAAGATTCTTTAAAGAGCTTGAATTCAAACTGATTTGACATCAATACAAAATCCAAATATGCACACAAATGCCTTTGATAAATGTCACTAAAGAACAGGGTAAAGAAAATCTTTTTTTAAAAAGTACCATTTATCTTAATAAAATGCTATCATAAAAAAACATTAAAACAGGCTATATATATATATTTTTTTTTTTACTTCCTCTGAGTCATAAATGCATATTTTAAAAGACCTCAATAAATAAATAATAAAAATGCCTTCAAATTATACATTCTGCTACAAAATAAATTTAGTGCTTGAATTTATCCTAACAAGGTCTCTTAGAATATAAATAAATTAAAATTCCTTACAATGTATATTATCCTGAAATATAGGGGCTGTATATGTGAGAGGGAGATACATATTCCCAATGAGTGTTATAAACAATGCCACTGAATTTCTGTATCACTGTTTTAAAGACAGTGAACAATAGCAGTCTACATAGATGCATTCTCTGCAGATGTGCACACATGGAATGCTAAAGTATCATCTTGCTTCAAGTAAAACAACTATGAGGAGAGTATGAGTGTGTATTGACCAGCAAGAGCATTAGTATAAACGAGTAAATATTAAGAATTCAATACATCAAAAACATATGATTTCTGTTTACCAACCTGCTGAATACCACTACTTTTGACCCTGAATCCCCAACCTGGGACAAACTTACCACACAACACAGATCACAAAAGCACAGGCCTTAGAGCCTGATTTCTGAAGCTGCATTCTGGCTCTTCTTCCTAGCTTCCTAGTGTGCTTTGGGCAAATAGCAACCTCTCTGTTCCTGTTTCCTCATGGGAAAACTGTAAAATGGAGGTAATACATAAAATCTGTCTATTATATTATAAAGTTTAAAATAATTAATGCATGCCAAGCATTTTACAGTGTATGGCATAGTTAAGTGCTCAAAAAAGATTTGTAAGAATGTATGTAGCATTAAAATGACAACACATTAGCCTAATAAGCATGTCACTGGTGATCTTTGCTATAGTAGTAGCCCTATACTTCAGTGATCTATATTCTTAAGTGTCTTATTTTTTTTAATTAAGGTATAGTTGACATACAATATCATATTAGTTTCAGGCGTACAACATAGTGATTCAACATTTATATTCCTTATGATGTGATTACCACCTCAAGCATCTATTTCAAAATCTGTGCTTCCCTCCATGTCTGTGGAACCACTCTGATGCTCAACAAAATGATACAGAAGGCACATCTGTTACAAGCCTATTGAATTCTCTGTATTTTCATATAGTCCAAAACAAGAGAGAGCAACAAATAAGGTAAAAATTGGTAAAGAAAAATATCAAGTCCTTGAAAATATGCCACAAGAGGGCAATTTTCATGATGGCCAAATGAAGAACTACCAGTCATTAAATGTAGAACGTCACATTCTCTGAAATAACAAAGAAAAGAATGAATATCCTGGAGAAAAATTTATTGCTATCTCATTTATTGAGAAATATATAATAACCTCTGAAATAAATCATATTGAAAAAAGGTATATTTTGATATACAAGTTACATTTAACATGCATTTTTTAAAAACCTCTATACTGCGAAAATCAAATTTATTTTGAACAAAATGGAAATAAATGCTAAATAATTAAAGTATTTTCAAAACAGTTTTCTATGTGGTTTTAAAGTCTTTCAATCTTTCAGATGTCTTAAATAAAAATTTTTATATTTTAGCTTTTAGTAGAAGTCTACACTATAGTGTAGTACTTTTTTTAATGGACATTAATATATAAAATCTCATTTTAAGAAAGATATACATATCACAATGTATGAAAACAGATAACAAGAAATAGTAAATATCCCTTCCATTATGTTTTCAGTATCTTCTCAATCAATAAAATGGAATGATGATACAGTTTCCGTGCCACACACATAAACAGCAACACGTGGAGATCCAAGTAATCTTGCTTACCGTGCCAAACTGCTGCATGTCCATCCCACAGAGTTGCCACAGTCTTCCTTGCACCATCCCATAAATTATGAGAATAGGCTTCTTTTAATACATTCTTCCTCTTATAAATGTGTAAGAAAATAATAGTAAGGTAGAGAAGAAAAATAGTAAAGTAAGGAAGTATTAAAAGTATCAGTGGTGTAAAAACCCACAAGAGATAGTTTGCAAAATTCAAATAGTCCTCCAACTGCTCCACGCCAAACCATTCTTCAAATAAGTGAATCAGACAGGTCATATAGGGCATGGAATCCTGTCCTATACCACAGGTTTGATTTTTGTCTATCATTTTTCCTTAGGTGAAAATGACAGATTCAGTCTCTTTCTTCATTGTCATGTAGGTCTTCAATTTTGCCACTAGAAGGGAAAAATAATCCCATGTTATTCTTCCCACAGCTAAAAAGTTAAATATTTTATCTACATAAACACTACATGGAGTCATTTCTTAATATCAAAAACAAGTAGACTGTTGTAGATTTAAATGTGAAAATTACAAGGTTTTGTTTGTCTGCTCATGGAGTGTGTTGGGTTTAGCTTTTGAAATAACTCACAAGCTAAGATTGAGAGAGGAAAATAAAGCTGATAAAATTTCAGATTGATCTTAATAGTCCGACTTATATCTTAAGTATATCACACCAAACGTTTGTATCTTAAATTAGGTAATGTTGAGATGACACTTCTTCACAAAAGAAACATCAATATCTGATTCAATAAAAGTAACCCAAATCTTTAGGAAATTATGACATACATTTATGGATATTGTCTTTTTTAATCACATTTACAGAAAAGCTCTCTGCTCTTTGGTATTATGTAATAAAAAATTTATTAATATCATTTTTATCTTATAGTCACTAAAATTTCTCTTTAATCTTAAATGACTGAAAATATAACCATACAATTATTTTATGTCACTTTCTAAACCAGTCACTAAAACTTACCACAAGTTAGTTAGATAACTTGTCCCAGGCTTGAATGTATTCTGGAAAACGTGGTATAAAATTGAAGAAAAAAACATGATTTAAAAAAAAGATAATCATTAATACCTAGAATTAGAATTTCCATAAAATATACAGCAAGAGACATGCACAAATGTGTGACAAATATGAATACAGCCCACACTAGTGTATCACAATTAAAAATTATATTTCACACTACCAACACTTTAGTGAGGGCACTGCTATATACATTGTTCAGTTCTACTAAATAAAGTCCCACCTGAGACTTCATTTAATTCAGAAGTATAAAAATATCTTGTTTTCTTAAAGGAAAAGTATGAAGTTAACGTGTAACTATGTCTCTTTTTAGTAACTTTGCCATATAATAAGCTGATGGTCAAACATGAAATTCAGTGATAAAATTATATTAGCCCTTATGATCATGTTCTCCTACATAAGATTTCCTTCTTCCATTCCTATTTTCTCTGGTTCTGATTCTATTCTTAGAGATAGTTTATCATTATTCCACATAACATAATCTTAATGAAAATGATCTCAAATCCTTTGTGGATGAGGTAGGAAATACAAGAAAGGGATGGAGGAGAGAGAGCCAGAAATACAAAAGCAATTATATGTTGTGTTTAACGCCAAGATTATCTTGCTGACTGGCTTATTAGTAGGGCACACACTTGTTCTTCCAAAGATGTAGGAATTAGTCTAATTTCCTAAGCACCTATTTGTGAGAAACCTGGCCTGTCAAGGTGATAGAAGTGAACATAGTACACATGAAGCGGGGGCTTTATTTACCTCACATTCTAATCAATCCATCTAGAGAGTCAAGCCACTATAATTTACCAATGTTTGAGCATTTAGAATGCAATACAGCGAAACATTTTATGTTTTAAACAGAGCTATCCCAACTAGGATGGCTATAACCAAAATAATAATAATAATAATAATAATAATAACAACAACAACAATAATAGTAACAACAACAAAAAATGTTGATGGTGACGTGGAGAAATTAGAACTGTCACACATTGCTGGTGGGAACTAATATGATGCAGCCACTGTGGAAATCAGTTTGGCAGCTCCTCAAAAAGCTAAACAGAGTTAAAATATGACCCAGCAATTCTACTCGTAGGTCTATCTATAGGCAAGAGGGCTGAAAACATATATTCTCACAAAAATTTGTATACAAATGTTGACAGCAGCATTATTCATAATAGTCAAAAAGTGGAAACAAACCAAATGTCCATCGACTGATGAATGGACAAATAAAAAGCGCTATGTCATGTAATAGAGTACCACTCAACCATGAAAAAGAATGAAGTATTAGTTCGTGCTACAATATTCATGAACCTTGAAAACATTATACTAAGTTAAAAAAAAAAGTCAGACACTAAAGTCCACATTTTTGTATGATTCCATTTATATGAAATACCCAGAATATACTAATCCACAAGGACAGAAAGATTAGTGGTTTCCAGGGGCGGGGGAGGGGCCAATGAGAAGTGACTGCTGATGGAAGCAGAGGTGTCTTTGGGGGGCAATGAAAATGTTCTGGAATTAGTCGTGATGGTTGTACAACCTTGTGAATATACTGAAAACCATTGGTTGCACATTTTAAAATGTTGAACGTTATAGTGAATTATATCTCAAAAGAAAAAAGCTTTCAAATATTGTTAATAAATTAAAATTTATGATAGTCTCTCAAATACATTAAAAAGCTTTTCCTAGACCTTAAAGTCAATCATTTTGATGAGCTGACCCTTACTGCTTAATATAATTGCCTCTAATAATCTAGTCTTATTTCTAATTTTTAATAGGATTATAAAATCTTGTGATTTTAAAACCTCTTTAGCACTTCCCCCAATGAAAATTGGTAATAGAACTACACTTCTTATCCTCAATTATATTCTGATATACTGTATTATACATATTTAACACACACAGTAAAGGGAAGAGAAACAGTGCATAGGCAGACATCCAGTGAGAGAAGTTACACAGAAACCTTCATGAGATCTAGTAGTCCCTTAACTGTGCCCCAATGCTGCAAGCAAAAAATTCCACAAATGGTCATTCTTGATCTTAATTTAAACCCTTCCAGAACAGAAAACTCAAAAAGTATCCTATTTCCTATTTCATCTTCAAAACCATCCATCAAACTACTAAAAATATCTTCTTATACTTACCTCGCTGTAACTTTTCCTACTGGACCTAGCTCTGTACTGTAGAACCTCTTCATTCTACAATCTCTTAAGTTTCAGGACAGCCATCATGAACTGCAAAATCCCCATTTCTAGTCAGAATCCTTTCCTTTCAACATTTCCTCAGACCTTGATCTCATAACCTTTTACCACTCAGGTCACTCCCTGTGATTGAGTCCAGTTATCTTGATATTGAAAGGAGCATGTACAGTAACCCATCTGTGTGTGACACAGAGAAAAATATACAGCATGGTAAGAACATAGAGATCCACAGCGGACAAGGGAGTATGAGGGAGCAGGGGGTCACTATGTTACACTGGGTAGTCTGGGAAGGCCTCTCTAAAAGTACATTTGAACAGAGAGCTGAGGAAGTGAGTAAGCAAACCATGTGGGTATTTGGAAGAGTGTCTGGCTAAAAGACCAGGAGTATAAAGGAGGAGCAGCAAGGCAGGCAGGCTGAGGGAGAGTATAGGGAGAGCAGTCAGAAAAGGGCAGAGAGATGCAGCACTGTAGAACTCTGTAGGCCAGCGTTCATCCAAGGTAGATGATGAAGGCATTAGAAGAGTGAGATTGCTTGACTTGGATTTTAAATGACTATGTGTTGAAAATATACTATACAAGGAACAAACAGAAAGTTATTGCAATAATTGAGATGAGTGATGAAAGTGGCTTAGACAAGTGTGGCAGAGTGAAGGTCATAAGAGATGATCAGTTTCTGGATATATTTTAAAGATAAAGTCAATAGAATATGTTGGTGAATGGATGTAGAATGTGAGAGAGAAAAGTCTGGGATGACAACACAGTATTTTGGCAATGTGGGTTTGTATCCTGGGAAGCTCTGCCACTTACTGTGTGACCTATACAAGTTACTTAATATCTCTATGCCTGAGCTTCTCCATCTGTAAAAATGGGGGTAATAACAGTATCTACCTAATAAGACTTGTGAAGATTCTATGTAAAAAAAAGCTCGGACAAGTGCTTTACACTATATAAGCAATAAATAAGTATCGCTATCATCATCATCATGCTTGTCATCATTTGCTTGCTTATGAAAGATGGAGTTGCAGGAATAACAGGTTTGCGGGTGGGATGAAGATCAGAAATTCAGTTTTGAACATGTTAAGATTCTACTGGACATCCAAGTGAAGACGTTAAATAGCCAGCTGGATAAAGCAGAGTTTAGCAAGATCAGGGCTAGAGAAATGTATCTTGGAATTGGCAGAAATGGCTACATATGGACAGTACTGAAAAACGTGAAACTAAAGAAGATCCCTCTAGTGGGTGAATATAAAATAAAGAAGTTTCCAGAATTGACCATTGGGGCACTCAACCTTTTAGAAGCTGGAAAGACAGTGAGGAACCAGCAACCTCATTCCAGCAGTGGCAACCTGGATGTCAAAGTAATAGATGTAGATAGAAGGAGTATTCAACTGTTTCAAATGATGCTCAGAAGTCTAGTAAAATAAGGAATGATAACCTATCATTGGATTTTTACAACAAAAAGGCACTGACAAGCCCTAATAAGAACTATTTTGAAACCGGAGATGAAAGTTAGGTGGTAAGTTCAAAAAAAAAAAAAGGAGTAAATGAATTGCAAACAGCAAATATAAACAACTCTTCAGAGGAATATTGTTGCAAAAGGGGATAGAGAAATGGGTATCTAGAGGGGAATGTAGATCAAGTTTGCTGTTGTTTTAAGATGAAAGAAAATACAGCAGTTTTTAATACCAATGATAATGCATCAGTGGGAAAGTGAGAAATGGATGATGAAGTAGAGGAGATAATTGTTGGGGCTTGTCCTTGACTAGGCCAGAGGGGATAGAATACAGTGTACAAGAAAGAGGCTAGCCCAGAGAAGACTTACAGCATTAGGCTAAAACTTCACTTACTCAACATATATTTATCAAGCAAGTAGTTTATGTTTGATACTATACAAAACACTTGGGATTCTAAGAGTAAACAAAATTGATAGTTATATGAGAAAACATATGTAAAGCACTTAGAATATGCCTGGCACATACTAGGCACTTACCAAATGCTAGCTAAATACAGATAGATCTGATGTTCTATCTGATGTTCTAACTTGTGTTCAACCAAATCTTTGACAAAAATGTGGACTAAGACAGTGCACTAAGACTTGTGACTAGAGAACAAAGGAGTTTGAATAAAGCTTACTTTTGATAATGAGAAAATGGTGTTAGAATTCAATGAATGCAACTTCTTAAAACAGAAAGCCAAGTTGACTTGCCCAAAATTGCTAAATTAATTCAGTGAAAATCCAAGAGCCAAAATTAAAACTAGTTCTCTTACTGCCTACTCTTGTTTTCATTACACTTTCTTTAATCTCTCTGACATAAAGGCTGAAAATATTAAAATTGCAATTTCTTGTTCCCTCTACTTCTGCCTGGCCTTCTCCTGCTGCAATTTACCACAGGCTATACTTGACTCTTTACTACTTATTTTATTCCAATAACAACTGTAATTGTTAAAAGATGTTTGGGGGGAGATATATTTTAGTTACCAAAATTCCATGTTATTTCCTATCCAAAAAATCTACAATAAAATACAGTTCTATGCATCACATATAAGGTACCTTAATTTTCCCATCTGTAATTAATATAACCTCCAAGAAAAAGTTGACAAGCTGAATCTCACCACGTCAATATTGATGGTGAGGAACATTTACTACAACTGACTTTATAGCTATTTAAAATCAAAATATTTCAAAAACTAATAAATCAGTATACAGGATTTTTTGTGTGTTTGTCTGTTTTCTACAAAACCGTAATGAAATAAATCAAATTTTAAACACCCATTACCAGTACTTTTACCAACATGGATGGTAGCAGATCTATTCCTTACTTTTAGTATATGAGCCACATAAAGGATATGCTGAAAATGCCAATTAAAAGAAATGCTCACTGAAATATAATTTTCCCTTTTCCTTTTTGCATATTTAATAACGGTTTAACAGAGGTTTAGATTCAGTTTTAGTGAATAAGCCTTCTATTTCAAACAATCAATAAAGCTGCAGTTTATCAGTTAAAAGATATCTGGGAATCCTAATCATTTAATCTTTTAAAAAATATTTTAGATTTCAAGCTTCAAACTATAGATTCTGATATAAATTCCCTTTCAAGGTTATTTATTTATTTATTTAAATCTTAGAACGCCCTTCAACTTCTGGTCAAAAGCTTCCACTCTGTTTGATAATTACTGTTCTACTCCTATTGTCTTACCCTATCCTCATGCCAAAAATGTTGCATATCTACAACAGTGTATCTAACTGTGCAGCACTTATCTTCTCAAGTCACCAAAATGAGCCTATCTCTGACATCAAAGTAAGGCAGCAGTATATGGGAATAAACATTTCATTTGAAAATGATCTCTCCACTCACTAGTAAATGAGGCCAAAATATTAGCAAGTGTTCCAAATGTCTGGATTTTACCTTGGCTTTTAAATATTCTAAACAAATACAAATGCCATTTCAGCATTAATAGCACAAACCAAGTACTAACTGCTCCAACAACCTTCGAACCTGAATGAATTTCTTTGAAGCTGCCTAATCTCAACTAATAACCCGTACCAAAAATTGCTTTTTTAAAATCTGGCAGTGGTGTTCCAGTTTTCGACATCCTGGTTATGTGCCCGTGTATTTTTCTTATTAATCAGCCACTTGAGGGCAGAAACCTGTTTTACAGGCTGCAAACTCGGGGGACCGAGACAGACCAGACGCGTACAAAGTATCTACACATTAAAACTATTAATAGTAGATATGGGAGGTTGGGTTTAGTCCTTTCATTTATGATTTCATTTAGTGTTTTCAGCCGCCCTAGCGAACAAGTACTAGTAAGCATCCCTATTTTACAGATGATCACAATGATGCTCTCAGAAAAGTTAAGTCGCTTGCCGGGTCACACAGGTAGTAGTAAAAGGGGCAAAAACCAGGATTCCAACCCTGATTTGCCTAGATGAGAGCACTCTTAACCACTTCCCATGCGGCCTCCCAACTACACACTCTCGTGATCACCCCATAATTTCCTTTTAGCTTTTATACACGGTAGGGTCGATTCGGATCCCAGGATCAAAAGGTTACTGGGCAAGCCCAGGGGCCTATAATGAGGTTGGAGACTTTGCCCCACCACTCAGAAGCGAAACATGTCGCCGAATTGGGGGTTTCTGAGCGCGAGGGGAGATGCGAGACAAAGTGAATGAGCTCGTTGTGACCCAGGCCCTGGCCACTCCGGTGCCCGAGTCGAACGCCGGGTCCGACCGGATGCCGAGCCCGCAGGTGCCGGCAGGGGACTCCCGCGCGGTCAGGGAGACAGGACGCGCGGCCTCGGCGGCGCGCAGCCCGCGAGACTGACGCGCCCCCGGGCGAGGAGGAGCGCGGGGAGACTAAAGCAGGGACCGACGCACCTCGGGCGGGAGAGGGCAGAGGAGGCTCGCCCTCGCTCTCGAGCAGCGGCGGCAGCTCTTCGGTGGCTCAGCAGCGAGGGGAAGCGTTGATATCTGATCAGCCGACTTTCCGCGAGCAACCAGTGAGGAAAAAGCCAAAAAGTGGCTGCAGCACGGGAGGCGTTGAGCGTGACACCTCCCGTCGCCCCGCCTCTTCCTGTGGCCTCCCGGAGCTACTTCCCGTGCCGGCTTCCTACCTTCCTCCGGTCGCCGCAAGTCGCTTCAGGCTGGAGCGGTCCCCGATCCCTTCCTAACCCCTCACCCCCAGACGAGCCGGCGAGTCCTCTTTTCGGTCTCCAGTAAACCATCGGAGGCCTGGGAGGCCGGACCCGTGCCGTTTACCGCATCTCTGCCTTCTCCGAGGTGGTAAAATGTGCTGCGAAAAGTGGAGCCAAGTGGCCGAAATGTTTCTCTTTATCGAAGACCTCGAGGAGGATTGTAAGATCCTTTGCCTCTGCTCCAGGGCATTTTTGGAGTAAGTAAAAACGTGTTCCTCTTCCTTTCTAGCACGACCATTTCCCAGAAATGGGAATGTACGTGTTGCAGACTAGTTGTAATTGGTCCCTGGAACCACGGCCAGGGTATTTGACCCTTGGGCAAGGTGTTGTTTAAGAAAAAGGGTAAAAAGTCCTCAGATTTTACAGAGTGGTCGCCTACTGCTGTTACGTGAAGGAGTACATTTATTTTGTAAGCTGTTATGAAAAAAAAATGTGCTAGCTGGTATATGTCATTATATACTTAGAAATTAAGGTGACATTTAAAAATTGGGAAAGTGAAGTGTTAAATGAAATCTCGTTAATGGATGTGACATCACAAGGTGAAGGTTTAAAAGATGAGTAACTTGTTTTGGTTAACGTCTTTTTAAAACCTAAGACTTATTAAAGCGCAAATGCACATAAATAGAACTTGTAATTACCTGAGGTAAGAGGCTAAACTATAATTACATTCGTTTTTGAGCTGGCTTTATTTTTGGAAAATATTTGTTTTGGGTTAAAATTGCTGGGCAGGAACATTTGTGGATGGGGGAAAAACTACCTAAAGAATTGTATTCTAGAGATGGTTTTCTTTATATTAGATGTGTGAGTTCAGCCACTTAAATCTTTTTCCATTTCTAAAACAAGTATATTTACCATAATTATCTCACATGCTTATTATTAGATTCAACCTGTGGAAGTGAATTTTATGAGATGCTTTTAAAATAGCTTAATGTAGTAGAATTTAACTTTGAAGGAATTCTTAGTATTCATCATGTGATTTTTGTAGAGTAATCTGAAAATTAATCCGAAAAGAAATTAAACATTAGGTTAAATTTAATTGAAAGTATTGACGCTTTTGTATTCATGTAGGCATGTATTCATTCACCGAATACTTTTTGTGCTCCTTTGTATTAGGTACTAAGAGGCACTGAGGGTGCAAGATATAGCTGCCCTTTGAGTTTATTTTCTAGCAAAAGAGATCAACATTAAGACAACTGTTACATAATTATTTGGTTAATTAAAGTTATAAGTGCAATGGGAGAGAAGTACCGGATGCTATGATAGCAAAACTAACAGATCACAATGATTTAAGAAAGTAGCATTTGAAAAGTTCTCTAAAGAGTGAGTAGAAATAAACTGGGGTATATTTCCGTGGGAGAAAGCATTCTGCTAGCAGAACTCTGTGTCAAAGCCTTGAGGGAGCAAAAGAAATCCTGTGAACAAAATGGGAACGAAAGAAGGGTTGGTAAAGTAGGCAGAGTTAAAAAATTCAGCATTTTGTGGAAGACTGGATCATTTTAAATGATCATTACATTTTTAAAGATTAGCAACAGTTTTTGGTGGTTCGGATAAGGATTGGTGGCAGGGGAAATAGAGAAAGGAGAACATATAGGAGAGAAGTTGAGTTTAACGGATTGTATTGGATATGGGGAGATGAAGGAAAGGTAAAGGATGGGAAAGTAGAGACTAGGTCAAGGATAACTCCTTGATTTCTGACTTATATTGGTGCCTTTTACTGAGATAGGGGTGGCTAGTGAGTCGTGGGTTTTCATTTTGGTACAGCAGTAAGAAGATAATCAACTTTGTACATTTTTATTTCTAAATACCTATGAGATATCCATAGGTAAGAATCATAGGTAGTTAAATGTATTGTAGAAGACAAACTCAAGTACACTGTCACCGAATGTTTAAGGAAGGAGTACATTGAAAAGCTACTTCATCATCAAGCAAAATGAGGACTAAAATATGTACACTATAATTAGGGGAAAAAATTTAAATCTACCATATTAATGACTTGCTAAGTGCCTGGCACTAATTTATACTTCATACTATTTCGCTTCCATTTAAGCATTCTACTTGAGTCTCAGTAATGGCCTAAATAAAAATCACACAGCCAGGTAAGTGGCAGCCCTGGAGGTCTGTGTGACTCCGCAGCCTTTTCACTTTCCTGCTAATTAGTCTAGAACATACAATTTTATTGAATCTTTCCAATTAAAGTATTTAAGTGGTCTGAAGTCATTTGAACACTAGTGACCCGTTAAAATACTTTAACAAAATGTATGTTGAGATAGAGAACTATTCTAGAAACTGAAGAGCCTGTATTTACTTCTGATCATACCCATGTGACAGTGTCTGGTAGTGATCTCTAGGTTTTGATATATAGAACACCAAAATCATTTGATATGTTTTTTCCCACAACAAGTCCCTTAGCCAGAATTTAAAAGAGTACTGTCCTTCGAGACAAAAGCTAACCAGCTTCACAGCCCAGCTCTACCAATATTAGCCATGTGGCCTTAAACAAGTCACATAACATTTCTGTGAACCCATTTCAGCACTTTGAGAAAGGATTTCCTTTTCCTTTTACCGCTTGAAACTAATCTACAGTCCTTTGCAGTAGAGAAATTGCTACTTCAGAAATTTCCAAGAACCATTTATTCAGCGTGTATTTTGGCCACCCGTGCATCAGGTACAGTGATAACAAGATGACTTAGGTGTGGTGATGTTTATCGTGTTTAAAGGTATGATGATGAGATGCTTAGGGCTTTTAAAAGAGCGGTATCTTAGAGGAGTCGCTACAATGCAGGTCTGATCTCCAGCTTTACAATTCAATTCAGCAGTTAAGGTTTATTTAGTTCTTTCAGTGTTCCAGGTCCAGATATTCATCCAGAATCATTATGCTCTGTGGGGTGAGTTACACTGATCAAACTCAAAAGATTGCTTTATAGAGGACACTTAGCAAGTATAATGGGAGGTTCTTCAAATACCGGGAATCAGGAAAACATCTCTCCCAGTGCTCAATGCTTTTAGAGATTATTAAAAGATGCCCTAAGTGTGAAATAGAGTTTTCATAAAAATTTAAGAGCTAGCATTCTCTCCCTTGTTGCTAATCTTATGCCTCAGATTATCGGTAACCTTGGGATATACTAGTAATAACCTTGAACATCTGTTTCACCTCTCACACTTGAAGAAGTATCTTTCTGCTTCTTCCTCTGGACTTGGCCCATTCCCCAGAAGTCATGTAGGCTAGCACTATTGGGGGCAGGTGACAAGCTCCCTAGAAAAGAGTACTTGGCTGTATGTTGGATGTGCAGGCCAAAAAGAGTCAGTTTGCGTATGTTACCAGCCAAGGCTACGTGCTTATTTCTTAGCCTGCAGCCCATTTGAGTGTTAGTGCTATCTTTACAAAGACTTCTTTCCAAAAAGAAAGAAAGGGACGAATATGTTATGAAACATAAAAAGTTGAGGTCTCATATCATACCTGTAGAAAACAATGTAACTAGATTTCAATTAAGTCAACTTTATTTAAAACACAATTACCATATAAATCAGTTATATTAAATTTAGTATTTTTGAACTAAAGTGTGCTTCATTTTCATTATAGGTAATTTCATACATATTCTTAGAAGCTCTATTTCACTTTTAGAAACTACATTTTAAGTTCAAAATAGATAAACAGAAAAGAATAGCTTTTTTCTTTAGGTTATTTAATGCTCAGATAAATTATAACCCTTTAGAACAAAAGGAGCTTGCAGATCTTGAACTTGTTTCCAGGAGGCATTGAGAAGTTCCTGGGAATGGGAGACATGCTGAAAGTTCAGAAGCTTGAAAGTGTAACCC